AAAAAAAAAAAAAAAAAAGTTGACACCCTCTAGAGCAGGGGTTCTCAACCTGTTAGTTGCAACCCACAGAACTGTATTAAAGGGCCACAGCATTAGGAAGGTTGAGAACCACCACTCTTGAGCCTCACTCAGACCAAAATGGAGACCCTCAGCTGCCCCAGCTGCCCATCCTGGTCACCCAAAGCCTCCACGAGCCAGTGGCCACAAGCACTCACAGCCTGGTGCTGCCGGGTCTCCTCATTCAGGGTCTTCCTCCTCTCCTCAGCCTGTACGCGGATCTGCTCATTCTTCAGCTGTTCCACAGCGGCCTCATACTCCTGCAGAACATACCACCTGGCACCTCAGCTGGGCTGCGCTGCAGCAGTTGGCTGGGCTACAAAGGCTCCCAGGCACAGCATCCCATACTTCACACAGCCTGCTCTGAGCAGCAGGCCTAACAGGGTGGGAGTGGGTCCAGGCCAAGTGGAACTCCAGGAAGAGCCCAAGAAGGGCCCCCTGGGAGATCAGACAGAGGCAGACAGGCAGTCTCCTAGACACTGCTACTGCCTTCCCAGAGGCTGTTTCAAGTGGATCCTGTCACAGTCTTTCTTTTTTTTGAGACAGAGTCTCACTGTTGCCCTAGGTAGAATGCTTTGGTCTCATAACTCACAGCAACCTCCTGAGCTGGGACTACCAGCACCCACAACACCCAGCTAGTTTTTCTATTTTTCAGAAGAGATGAGTCTCACTCTTGCTCAGGCTTGTTTCAAACTCCTGAGCTCAGGCAATACATCTGCCTTGGCCTCCCAAGAGTTCTAAGATTACAGGCGTGGGCCACTATGCCTGGCCCCTTACTTCACGGTAGCCAAGGGCTGAAGGTACTCATTGTGTGCTCACCACACACTCCATTGATAGGAGTCTTGCTGGGCACAAAGAAAATGCCCTACCCTCCAGAAGACCAGCCAAGGGACCTTGCTGCAAACAGGGAGTCAGGCCACATAGCCAATACCCAGTGCCTCCTTCTGTGGGATGAGGGTCCCAGTTTCACTCTCCCCGGCCAGTATCAGGTCACCACTCACTTTGAGCTTGGACTGCTGCTCCAGCTGCAGTGTCTGCTCCTGCATCTGCGCAAGACTCAGTGCCTCCTTGGCATGGCCTGCAGGGGCAAGCAGGAGAGGGGCCATTAAGACACCAGCCAGGCACGCATTCACATCCCAGCCCAACTCACCCACCCACCCTCATTCCTGGCCAGCCTGTACCCAACGCCGCCTCCCTACAAAGGCCGCTGCCTATCTCTAACAAAGAGCCCGGCATATTTTGTAGCCTTATCTCCCCCAGAGACGATCCTGGAAAGCAACACAGGAAGGTCATTCCACACCCACCAAGGGCAGGAAACAGGGCCAACACAGCAGTCCCATCCCTATTAAACCGAATCATATTTTTCTCAAGTTTCCAACACCCATTGTCACTGAGTTGCTGTGAAGTCGAGTGAGGGACTGAAAGTTGAATCACGCACAAGGTATGTGCTGTCACACAGTCACACAAACACTGTATCTTCCAGGTGCATTTTGCTTGTAAGGGGACTGATACAGGTCAATATTTGAGTGTTCTGGAAGAAAACTAAGCACTTTACTAGCTGAAGAACCAGCATCAGGTCTCAAAATTTTCTGTGATGACAAATTTCCCATTCACTACAGTTTACTATAAAAACCTAACACACAGGCTTGGCGCCTATGGCTCAAGTGGCTAAGACGCCAGCCACGTACAGCCAAGGTGGCGGGTTCAAAGCCAGCTCGGGCCCACCAAACAACAATGATGGCTGCAACCAAAAAATAGCCAGGCATTGTGGAGGGCGCCTATGGTCCCAGCTACTCGGGAGGCTGAGGCAGAAGACTTGCTTGAGCCTAGGAGTTGGAGGTTGCTGTGAGATGTGATGCCAGGGGGACACTCTACCCTGTGTGAGCATTCTACCAGGGGGACAGCTTGAGGCACTGTCTCAAAAAAAAAAAAAAAAACCTAACACACAAAGAAAAGAAAACCCCTCCTCCATTCTCCTGCATTGGCTCTTTGTTCACTTGTCTTTTCCCACCAGAGCATCTCACTGTTTGAAGCTTTCAGAGTACACTACAGACCTCAGGACATGTCACCCCCAACTATAGCAACAATTTACCACCTAAAACTCAATACTTGTTCATAGTTGGTTTTTTTATTTTTTTGTTTGACAAGGTCTCACTCTGTTACCTGGGCTACAATGCAGTGGTGTCATCACAGCTCAAACTCCCTGGGCTCAAGGGACCCTCCTGCCTCAGCATCCAGAGTAGCTGGGACCATAGGCACCCACCACAACACCTGGATAGTTTTACTACTTTTAGTAGAGACAGGTCTCTCTCTTGCTCAGGCTGGTCTCAAACTCCTGGGCCCAAGCAATCCTCTCACCTTGGCCTCTCAGAGTGCTAAGATTACAGGTGAGCCACCATGCCCAGCTGTCTTTTTTCCTTTTCTGATGGTTAAATGACATGACCTGAGCATGTCACAGATACATTTCGTGTGCGTATGAGGCAGATGTAGCCGAATACTCTGTCTTGTGCTGCCTGCTGGGGCACATGTTTTGCATGAACTCAGGCAACAGGCATCAACACCAAAGCCTAGCAAGGACCTTAGGAGCCAACCTTTGAGGCCCACATGCTCTGCCTGGGTCTCTTGTGACCACAAGCAGAGCACAGAGGGACCTATCTCTATAGGTAGGCTCCAGGACTCATCCTGTCCAACTGGTAAGGGCTGAACAGACCCTGAAGGCCTCTCCAGTACCTCACAGCCTGTCTACGAAGGGGCAAGGGCATCCCAAAGCAGCCCACAGAAGCATGGGAGTCACAGTCCAGCACTGCTGCCCTACTCACTTATGACATGACCTTCAGCAAGCCTAACTGGTCTGAGGCAATTTCCTCCCTGAACATGGAGCACATACAGCCCCCATAGCAAGTATCTTGGGAGAACAGACTGAGGAAGAGCACAGGCCACACCCACACAACCCCTGAAACCACAAGCTCTGGCCTTCATTGGAGCAAGAACTCACCACCACGAAATTATTACCCTGTGCTATCAAGTAGATCCCAGCATGAAGCAGAACTGAGATGTGCCTCAAGGGATAGCAGAGGGTTAGGGTCTTCCCTAATGGGCTACCAGGCACATGGGCAGGAGGCATCCTGGGAAAAGGCTTTGGGGATAGGAAGGGCAGCAAACCACAGAGAAACATTGTCACCAGTCACCAGTGAGGCCAGGAAAGATGGCAGGAATGAAAAAGAATCCATATCCAGTACAGAACTCACAGAAAATGAAGCCTGATGAGGTGAGACCAGGCCTCCAAACACAGCATCCTGGGGTCTGCAGTAGATGCTGTTTGGCCAGTAAATGACAGCTCAGTTTTGGAGAATAAAGGCAAAGACACTAGAGACTCAGGCGGAGAATGTCCCAGGCCAGGAATTCTGGGGTGGCCAGGACAATTCTGAGGTACAGGTAGACAGGTTGGAGAGGGTCCCCAGCCGTTCCCCTCGGACTCACTAAGATTGCTCACACAAGCTTGTGTAACTACATGGGGGGGGGGGG